ACCATTTTACCAAATAAGGTCACGATGACGCCCAAAATATGTTAAGGTATTACAATGATCATGAAGAACAGGGCAAAAATTCGGAGCAACAAAATGGCCGCACTAAGAGATACAAAACTTTGGTTTTTCTTTTGTTTTTGGTTTTTTAAGCTTGACTTTCAAAGAAACGAACTTTTGAGCACAACAGTTTTTTCAACTGGTCACAAAAAACACTTTAATAGTTTCGTTCGCGTTGTTTTCGTCTTTTAGCGAGCTCATTATGCAATCGATACGATCTACAAATAAGGCCGTAGGAGGTATTTCGAAAACTAAAATTAAAATACTAAAAAGGGAAATTGCTCTTTTTTTTTCATCGCTAATTGAGGGCTTGAAAAAATCTTGCACAACTCTTAAAATATCCGCGCGTAGTATATATCAAATAGTAGAATAACCGTTTTGAAACAGTTCCCTCGAAAATCAGAAAGCGTTGCATAAGTCAGTATATAAGAAAACATTTGCCACAACCATATTTTAGAGATCTAAATTACAAACTGAGAAACAATCTAAACCAAATTAATCGTTTGTTCCTTCTCTTCGTCTCTTTCTCCCAAGCTCTGGTCTTAGAAATCAATCATATCGCTAACATGTCGTGCCAAGACCTTACTGTGAGTGTTTTGATCTCGACGGATATGACGTTAAAAAATTTAGTAATGACGATAATATCTTCAAGTTAATTTTTCCTCTTTATTCTCCTTCTTCGAGGGAGAACTTTTGTAAATAATATATTGGTTTTACCATAAATCATGCTACAATTTTTATAAGCACAAGTCCCCAAGAATTACAAAAGCATTGAAATACAAAGAAAAGAAATATCAAGGGCGAAAGTAGGAAAGAAGGATTTAAGGACAAAGTACCGCTTGTTTCCTTAAATACAGAACAATCGAAGGTCCGGAAAAACTGCCTAATAAATATTATCCTATTTCGGAAATTATCAAGTAATATTGTGCTTAAGGCTGAATTTCAAAACACAATAGGTTGACTTCTCGTAGAACTATAGAGGACCAGCGCCTGAAGCATTAAAACACACTTCACGGCTTTTAGCGTTTTTCAAGTTATTTCTTTGGCGGCTTGTAAAAAAAATCATAATTATTTCAGCTTTACCTCGTACTCTTACAAAATGGGTCTCATTAAGACACTCGTTGATAGGGCCTACAAGATTAATAACACCTGGTTAGGGTTTCACGAGGACATTAACAATCTTACTGATATTCTAAAAGAATATTTTCCCTGCTCATTTAATCGAGAAGATTATAAACCGTTACGTCACTGGGACCCAAAAGAATCATCATCCCCGGGATTCCCTTCCTACCACTTCACCTACGTTCTACTTTAAGCTACCCTACATAGGCCACTTCTCTGCTATCACTCAAAAAAAAACATCCGCCATTTTATTAGGCGCTATTGCAATGACTTGGATATCAAACTGGTTTTCTCTTCCTTCAAAATCGGTAACTTGTTTGGTGTGAAAGACCCTGTCCCTGACGGGCTCCGTTCACGTGTGGTTTATAAGTTTGTATGTGCTGGCTGTAATGCTTGTTACGTCGGTGAAACCTGCCGGCATTTTTCCTCACGTATTAGAGAGCACTTAGTTAGTGACAGGGCCTCTCACATTTTCAGGCATCTTAAAGATTCTCCACATTGTCGCGCTTTGTGTTCTACAGATAACTTCCATGTCTTAGATCACGCCTCCACCAGCCTTCAGCTTAAGATAAAAGAGGCTATTCATATTCAAAGAGAACAACCATCCTTGA